CCTCCTTGGTTTTTTTTTTTTTTTTTTTAAGAGTTTTTTCCTATAGTGCACATGCATTCACCAGAGACAGAAGGTGAGAAATCACCCCCCGGGGGGGATGGCTATGCCACAATCCCTTCTTCTTCAGTTGCCTCTTGGGATTTTGGGCACGCATACACACATGCCTGGCATGAGTTTTAAGCCACTGGATCTGGGACTTGAACAGTTACAATGGGCCTCACCAGGAGCACTAGCCAGGTTCATGTGATACGACACGTTTCTGTGCCCTGCTGACTTTTTGTTTGTTTCTCAGTTTGACATCAACAACGAGATCGAGTTCTGATGCCCTGCAGGGGCGGTACGCAGCTCCTGAACTGGAAGTAAGTTCATTTCCCTTTCCTGTCCTGCTTCATCTCAGAAGAGGACTTTTATTGTGTTTGCATCTTTGTCGGACTATATTTTGTGATCCTGTTTCTTTGCTCAGGAAAGAAGATTTTTGAGGGAGAAAGAAAGGAAGGAAGGAAGGAAGGAAGGAAGGAAGGGAGGGAGGGAGGGAGGAAGAAATGTCCTGTTTGTACCCTGGGATTAAAATCTACGGGTTGACTTTTGATTTTTTGCCTACAACACTGACTTGTGCCATGGCTGCCCACCGTAACAGAGGCGTGGGTGGCCTCGTCAGGATGCACCTTGATCTTTCCCTGAGTTACAGTGGAAGTGTGGGTGGTTTTTTAAACATCTAACCCATTCACTTGTTTGATGCCTGACTGTGCTCTGCCTGCTCGGCATGGCTGAGATACGTGGTAGCTATTCTAAAGGTGGAAAGAGAGACGGGGAAGAGAAGGAACGGACCTGCTGTGTGCTGGACACATGCCGAAAATCACAGGTGCCATAACTTGTATACAGAATTATGAACAACGAAAACATTGCTTTCAGGCATGTGAGGCCCTTCACTTGCATGTCCAGAGAACTGGAATGATCATCAGATACCTCAAGAGATTGCCTTTTTTTTTTTTTCACTTGTACAAAAGTCTATTTCTAGGACTCTCAGTGGAAGATCCACCAAGTTAGAAAGGCCTATCACATGGAGGCAGCCAGAAAAAGACTCAGCCCTGACCCCAAGAATGGAAAGAGCCAGGGGTCCCAGTGACGGCCGAGACTTCCAGCACTTGCCACGCCAGGCACTGCTCTAAGTTCTCCAGCTGTGATTTCTTTTCATCCTAGTGAAAACCCAGAGAGTAACTTTCGTCTCCATTCTACAGAGGGGAGAAGCAGCCAAGTGAAAACATTTAAACCGTGCAGGATGTAGCCTGCACCCTGGCCTAGGAGTCTGTTCTTGCCCTCTGCTGCCCAGGGGCTCAGCTGCTGTCCCCTGCTGACCCTGCCTGGCATCCAGCCACTGGCTCCATTTTCTAACGCCCTCTCTGGTTCGAAGAGCCTGTTATCTGTCCAGACGGGCACTTGCTCTGCAGCTGTGTCCCTGGGGATGGTCTTCCTTGCACCTGACCTGGAGATAGTGAGCCATTATGAAGAGTTGTCAATCTGCCAGCGTCATTTACCAGGTCTTTCTGTCACTTACAGGAGAAAACTGTGCTGAGTTTGACTAGGTCACTGCCTATTATACAGAAGAGAATGGTCTGTAGAAGGCAGGCGTTTGTTTTCACCACCGACTAGGCGACCACCTGCTGAGGTTGTACGTTTTGGTTTCAATGACCCCATTGTGCACAGTGAAAGCTCAAAGAACAGCAAGTCTCTAAGTTAGATTTAGTAGAGGATGTTTTTCTTCTCTTTCTGAGGGAAAACGTCCCAGTGTTCCTTCTGAACAGAAGAGCATGCAGGATGGAATGCCTTCTGCTCCCCTGTGTCACATTTCACAGGATGCACCTTTGAAAGAGAAAGTTAATAGTTTCTCATGGTAACTTGACCCTCAGAAGAACTGGGACCTCGGCATGCTGTGTCTTTGGCCCAGTGAATGAATTTGTGAACTTTAGACCAAGCCACTTGATCCAAAATTCTGTCAAGGCTGATACCTCTGTTAAGTTTCCTTGGGCTAGCTTTGTGGTGCAGTGGAAATGCACTGCTTCAAAAGAAGGCAGATCCCACATGGTGACCATGGTTCAAATCCCTGGCCTGTTTAGCCTATTCATGCTGGGCACATGTGTGAGTGCCCAAGACCCTTCGGGCTGGAGGACTGACCAGACCCTGCAAAGGGTATTCCTCTCTCACTCTCCCTCTCCCTCCCCCATGGTCTATCATGAATAAAGAAAACAGTGTTAAACAACAGAGTTGCCTGGCCATGTGGGAGGAAAACAAGGCTTGGCCTTTAGATCTGCAAATGGGACAAAGACTCAAGTCTCCCGTATTTCTGTTCCTGACTATCTGTTATTTGCAGCTGAGATATCTTCAACTGGAACATGCCGAGGACCCAGGCTTTCCAGACTGTCATGGAACATGTGTGTTTCTTATTCTTTTTGCTTTCTTACTCTGTGGTCCTTTTGGAATCATTTAGTAGTTTTTCATGACCTGATTTGTTTTATTTTAGAGATTTTTTTGCTACAGGGCACATACACTAACTGGAGAGACAGACAGAGAGAGAGAGAGAGAGAGAGAGAGAGAAAGAAGTCACCTTCTGGGGGATGACCACACTGCATTACCTTCTCCTCCACTCTGTTCTTGGTATTTTGAGCACACACGCACACATGCCCAGTTTCAAATGACTAGGTCCAGGACTCCAACTGCGGTCAGCCATGTGGGAATCCAGCAATGTAACTATCAGGCCATCTGCTGGTCCCCATGACCTGATTTTTAAAATTAAGTTTACTAATTGGAAATAAATTAGAATAAATTAAGAAATAAGGCATGCCATTTGAAAGGTACTGAAGACGCCTCCAAGGTAAGCACCCATCTATCCCTGTTCATCCTCAGTTCAGCATCCTGATTTTAATAGGAAATGTGGGTCGACCTCTTGCTTGCAAATTCCATAGTTTGCCCATTTTCCATTCTGTCAGCTTCACCGGCTCCTGGATATCACATGTCACCTGCTGTGAGTGGCAGACCTTGAAGATCCCATCCCGTGTTTCTGCCCCAGCTCTGTCACAAGGCTGTTTACTGACTTCGGGCCAGTTACTTAACCTGCCTGACCTTGGTTTCCTCAGCTGTCAACAGGGTGTTCATTCCAGCCTCAGGTTGAAGAGGACTTACTCAAGTAGCACCTGTAAAGCAAAGCACCAGAAGCAGGCCAGGAGAGCGGAGTGGGACGCTCATCTTGTTCACTGTGTGCTTCGGGCTGAGTTCTCCAGAGCCAACGCCCAGGCACATTTGTCATGCTCTCGAATATTTATTAGGGATCAGTACACAAGGAAGGAAGGAAGGGGAAGGAGGCAGGATTGGGCAGAATGAAGCTGAGTCAGTGCAGGCTGGATGAAGCTTCTGCTATCCCTAGGGTAGCTGCAGAGCCTGGATGATCCTTCAGAGTTGTCCCCAGGAGATCATAACGGCTGGGCCTGCATATCCCTGCCATGATCGGTCATTGGATGGGGCAGCTGGGAGGGGCTTGGGTTTGGTCAGGACAGCTCGGCTGAGGCACAGCTCTGCTCCCAGCACTCAGTCACCGGGGCCAGCACCAGGTCCTGGGAAAGGGGTCTGAGTGGTGTGTTGCCTTGTCCTTGATCTTTCTACCACCCGCACCCGGCATGTCTGGGAAAAGCAAATACTTTGTTAAAACCTTTTGAAGGGATAAAGTGTGTCACTCCAAACTGGGTATGGTTCAGGTAGAGGAAGGCTTGGCCTGGAGGTGGCCTTATCACCTTGTGCCTTATCAGTGTGGAGGTCGAAAGCAGAAAACAAGCCACCTGACTGTTGCTTTTACTTCTGCAGGTAGCTCGGTGTTGTTTTTGCTTTGGTCCCAATGAAGATGGTAAGTAGAGAACGCTCATTCTGTCTGTGGGGCCTACAGACCCATAGCTCTAGCTGCAAGCGTTGGGTGTTCAGACACAAATAACTTGAATGATAAGGAAAAAGCTTTTATTCCAGAGCTAGTTTACTGTTTCTGTACGGTCCACATTCTTCCTCAAGGGTAGCTGGATTCCCTTTGTGTTGGTCGTGTTGGTATTCCGGCACGAAGAGTCGGTCTGTATTTTGGCTCATATTTAAGTTAAATTAGACAGTGAGGTTCAGAGAGGCAGAAAATACTTTTCTTTTTTTAGTTTGCTATAGGGTAAATGTACTCACCAGAGAGAGACAGAGAGAAGGAAAGTGAGACATCACCTCCTCTACACCCCCGCGCCCCAGTGGGGATGGCTATGCTGCAGTCCCTTCTTCTCAAGATTTTGGGCACATACTTGCATGCACTCGGCATGATCTTTAAGCCACCAGCCCCAGGACTTGAACCAGAGTCAGTCATGCGGGATCCAGCTGGCCTAACGTCCATGCCACTGCTGGCCCAGAAATGATTTAGAAAATACCAAGAGGTCCTCTTTTGGGACCATTTCTGTTCTTTCTTTCCTTCAGCTTACTTTCTTTAAATTAGAAGATCCCATGGGATTGAGAACTCTTGGTCTATTCTCTCTCATTTTTTCCTAAGTCTTAGGTTTTCAAGGGTGCTCTTTCTTCTTCTCTGTTAAAATAAATGTGTTTGGGGCCAGCAGGTGGCACGGTGATTAAGGTTCTGAACTCCCACATGGCCAACCATGGTTCAAGTTTCAGACCTGGTGGCTTGCTTTCTCACTTTCCCTTCTCTCTCTTTTTCTCTCTCTCATGTGCATGCCCTATAGCAAATTTGAAAATAATATTAATGAATAATGAATAAAATAAAATAAATAATCGTTTTAAGTAAATAAATAAATGTGGTATTAAGGAAGTTACTGGGGGGTAGAGGGGGGATTTGTGCTTGGGGCACAGGCTAAAAGTTGCCAAAAGGTACCCATGCCTCCCAACATGTTTTCTACTTGGAGCTCCTGAGATTGAAGGAGGTGTGAGTGGCGGGCTTCCCATGTCCTTCATTGAGCTCGGGCTCTCTGTGATTCACAGGCTCTGAAGAGCAGCAGAATGTGAAAGAGGGACCCCGCGTGATTTCTGACGAGAAGAAAGGCACCGTGTACAGCTACTCCTACTTCCACTTCGTGTTCTTCTTGGCTTCCCTCTATGTGATGATGACCGTTACCAACTGGTTCAAGTGAGCGGCCCTTTGCATAGACATTTTAAAAGGGATGGGTTTGTTTGGTTTTGTTTTTTAAGAGGTTTTTGCCTTAGGGCGCATGTGCTGGGGCAGGGGTGGACGGAGACAGTGAGAGGGAAAGTTAGAGATTGCACCTCTGGGGGATGGTCACACTGAAAGCACGCTGGGCACACACGCACATGTACCCAGTGTGATTTTCAAGCCGTTGGACCTGGGACTTGAACCACGGTTGGCCATGTGGGAGTCAAGCAATATAACTGGTATGCCATCTCTTGGCCCCAAAAGGGGCAGATTTAGGACAAAATCAAGTTAAGTGTTACCATCATCTATTGGTATCCATGGGGAGTTGGTTCCAGGACCCCCTACAGGTATTAAAATCCATGGGTGCACGAGCCCCTTACGTAAAATGGTCTGGTATTTGCCTGTAACTTATGCACATCCTCCCGTGTACATTCATCACTTCTCGACTACTTTAATACTTATAAAATACAAGTGTTACTTACGTACATGAAAAATGGAATCAAAGTACTACTTTGTTTTAGTGCATTTTCCATGAATTTTGTGAATTGTTTAGAGAATAATGATAAGGAAGAAAAAACATCTATGTTCAGTAGAGACGCGGCTGTCATAGGCCTATCCGCAGAGTGCACGGCAGCAACCACAAACCTGTGATGTGGAGGACAGAGAGCAGGAAAGTGAGAAACCACCCCCAGAGGGAAGGGCCATGCTGCAGTCTTTTTCTCCATTGTCCTCTCGGGATTTTTGGACATTCGCACATGCCTGTCTTGAAGATTCTGGGTACAGGGCTCAAACTGCACTGTTGGCCATGTGGGATCCAGCTGCCTTAACCTCCATGCCACCCATGTGCTATTCTTTAAAGTCCTGTGAAATAGACCAAGTCTTCTCAAGTCAACTAAGCCTGTGTCCGAGTCCTGCTTCATGCTCAGCCTTAACAGGAAACAGTTCTGAGTTCCTAACAATTGATTGGCATCCTTTTAACTCTGAAAATTCGTTGCTCTTACTTCGAGGAAATGGAAGGCTCACTCCAAATGGGTAATGGGCAGTCTGCAAAACACAGTAATAGTAATAAGAAACTTGGGATTTTTTTTTTTTTTTTGAGAGAGATTTTTGCTGCAGGATGCATACACATGCCAGAAAGACAGAAAGTGAGAACTCACCCCCTAGGGGCAATGGCCATACCTTAATCCCTTCTCCTCCGTTCTTCTCTCGGGATTTTGAAGACACATGTACATGTGCCTGGTGTGAGTTTTAAGTTGCCAGGCCTGGGATTCGAACTGTGGCCAACTACGTGGGAGTTCAGCGATATAACCGTTACACCATCTGCTGGTCCCCAAACTTGAAATCTTTAAGCAGTCACGTGCCTTTTATTATTATTATCAGAGGAGAATGGGAGGACGACAGAGAGTGGAAGATACTTTGACAGAGTCTCTCCATATCTCCATCTCCATCCGTTGCCCCAGCCTCCCACTTAGCGAGGACCTCAGGCGCACACCAGCTCACTCAGCATGTTTAGGGTGGGCCTGGAACTGAACCTGAGCTGCCCATGTGGCCACCTAATAGCTGAGTCCTCCCTGACCCTTTCACTCCCACTTATATCACCATAGCTGGGCCTTATTAGCCTTTTATTTTTTTTTTTTTAAGTTTATTTCTTTCTTTCATGAGCAACAGAGAGACAGCACATGCAAGAAGTTTTTTTTTTTGTTTGTTTGTTTGTTTGTTTTTCACTGTAGGGCGCATGCGCTCACCAGACAGACAGAGACATAGAGACAGAAAGCGAGAAATCACCCCCCAGGGGGGATGGTCACGCTGCAATCCCTTCTCCTCTCGGGATCTTGGGCACGCACACACACGTGCCCGGCGTGAGTTTTAAGCCACCGGGTCCGGGACACGAACCGCGGTCGACTACGTGGGAGTCCAGCGACATAGCCATTACGCTAACTGCTGGTTCCCCAAGTTTTGTTTTTTTAATTGCCAGAGGGCACGTGTATTCACCAGAGATGGACAGGTCGTGGGGAGAGAGGAAGAGGAAGCACCCTCCAAGGGGCATGGTCACCCTGCAATCCCTTCTCTATTTCTCCGTCCTTTCAGGGCCCTGGGCATACACATACACGCCTGGTGTGTTCTTCAGGCTGCTGAAACCAGGACTTGAACCATCGGATAGCCATGTGAAATCCAGCTCCCTTAACCTCTAGGATTTGGGGCTGGGGCCTGCAAACATGGTCTTGATGCTGCAGTCCACCCCAGCTTATGGAGGAAGGTCTCCAGACTTGAAGTGGGAGACTTCTTATATGTAAGAAGGCTTCACAGAGCATTGCATTTTTTACCTCTATGCCACTGGCTCCTCTCATCTGCTTTAAAGAAAGAGAAAATACCCGTATTTCCTACTTTAAGTACTGTGTTTTTTTCCCTATTTTTCTATATTACAAAAATTTGAAACTTTTTTTTAAATAAAATGCACTAATGTAGAATTATGAAAAGTAACAAAGTGGCAATACCCTCCACACACAGATAGCTACTGCTAACAGTGTAGTGTATACGCTGTCATTGTTTTCTACGTATTTACAGGCCTAAGTCATTTTTTTAACATAACCGTAATTACACACGTTTTCTCCATGGAGGTTTTTAAAAAACTTAACAACGCGTGATAGACTTTTCCTGTCATGACACAGAGATTTGTGCTTTTTGTATGACTCCAGAGTTCTGGAGGTTTCACGGTTTGATGATATAGGATAGACATTCAGGTTCATCGTGCTTGCTTTGATCAATTCACTTAACAGGTATTCGGGTGAATCCTATGGGCCACGCTGTTCTCTGGGGCGGGGCTTATACTCCAGTGGCAAAAACAGGCAGTGATCCAAACGTCGTCTTGTCTGTGAAGAGTAATGGAGAGAAAATTAAAACAAGGAATACCCAGGTGACAGGAGTGGCAGTTGCAAACTCAGTGACTTTGCTGAGAAGAGTCTTCCTGAAGGAAGAGAGAGGAGGAGACTTTCATTGTTTCCCTGTGGTGCTTGGAGAATTCCTGGGAAAGTTTGGCTTGGGAAGCTTAAGAAAGGGCAGAGAGAGATACAGTCAGGCAGATAACAAATGTTTTTGCGGATATTGATAGGAACCCTCTGACGTGGCTGGTGGGAATGTAAAATGAAGTAATTTTTAGAAAGAGCTTGGCAGTTCCTTACACACTTTAAGTTATAATGTGATCCAGCAATTCTACTCCTAAGTATGTAAAACAAAAAAAATTCACACAAAAACTTATACACAGGTGTTCACAGCAGTATTATTCATAATAGCCAAAAGGCTAAATCATCCAGATATCCATCACCAGATGAACGGATGAACAAAATGTGCTCTATCCTTACCATGAAATATTGAGAATAAAAAAGAATGGAGGGGCCAGCCAATGGCATAGTGGTTAAAAGCAACTGGATCCCACATCACCAATGGGCACTGAGTCCTGGACCTGGTAGCTTGAGAAACTCGCTGGGCATTTCATTTGGGCATGTGTGTGTGCATGCCCAAAATCCTGAGAGGAGAATGGAGGAGAAAGGATTGCAATGTGGCCATTACTTCGGGGGAGTGCTTTCTCACTTTTCTTCTCTTTCTCTCCCTCTGTCTCTCAGGCATGTGCATATAGCCTATAGCAAATTAAAAATAAAACAAAAACAATAAAGAAATGAAGCAAGCCTGGTCCATAGCCTGGTGGTGGTTAAGGGAGCCAGATCCTATATGGTGAACAGTGGTTTGAATCCTGACCTAAGCAGCAGTGGAGGACTGATACATACTATGGTGTGAATGAGCCTTGAAAAACAGTATGCTAAATTAAAAAAAAGAAAAAATCCAGTCTCAGGAGGCCACATGGTTCCGTTGATATGACCTGTCCAGACTAGTCAAATCCAGAGAGAAGACGGTGGAGCTGGGCGATCAGCGTTGGTGAGGATGAGCACTGAGGGAGAAGCTAAGAGGTGCAGGATTTCTCTTTGGGCTGATGAGAAAGTTCTAAAATTGACGATGGTGATTGTGCAAGTGTGACATATTAAGAGCCATTGAGTGAGTTATATGCTTTAAGTGGGTATTAATTATAGCTCAGTCGAGTGTTTAAAAGGAAAAAAAGCCTGCAGGAAATTATATATTAGTTGAGTTAGAAAAAAGCCTGAGCCAGCAGGTGATGTGGTAGTTAAGGCACTGGACTCCCACATGACTGACCATGGTTCGAGTCCTTGATCTGTTAGTTTGAAAATCACTCCAGGCACATGTGTGCATGTGCCCAAAATCCCAAGAGGAGAATGGAGGAGAAGGGATTGTGGCATGGCTGTCTCCCCAGCGGGGTGATTTCTCCCTTTCCCTCTCTGGCTAGTGCATATACCCTATGGCAAAAACCTAAAAAAAAAGAAAAGAAAAAAAAGAAGAGAGAAAGAAAGAAAGAAAAACCTGGTAAAGAAAGCAGGGAGACCCCAATTCTCTTCCTGCTCTGACCATAGCTGGTGTCTTCTCCCCACAGCTATGAAAGTGCCAACATTGAAACCTTCTTCAGCGGGAGCTGGTCCATCTTCTGGGTCAAGACGGCCTCCTGCTGGATGTGTGTGCTCTTGTACCTGTGGACGCTGGTCGCTCCCCTCTGCTGTCCCACCCGGCAGTTCTCTGTGTGAGGAAGTCAGCAATGCCCTCAGCTTAGCCGGCCTGAAGGCCAGAAGTACTGTCCTTTGTGCACGTGAGCAGATGTGACCAGTGACTGGCACCCTGCAAGAAGGTGACATCTCCTGGCTGGCTTGAGGGGATCCGAAGTAGCTTTTGGAAAAATGTCTCTTGATTCCCTTTCTAATTGTGAAATTCAAAAAGAAACTACCAGTGTGTCCCAAAGGAATTGGAGTTTTCGACCAAACTGTTATCATGGGTGATAGATCTTTTTTTAATATGTCTTCCTCCTAGAAACTCAATATAATTTTTCTTCTGCATGTTTTTACCAAAACACTGTGGCACACAACTTCTCTTCACAAGGATAAAAACTATCCTTTTATGACCTGTCATTCTTATCCTTGAAACAGAAAAAGAGCCAAACTCTGGAGCCTTAGCCCCAGACGACCAAATCCAGACCTCTCTTACTCACTTTCCCCTCTTGGCACCTCATTCTCAGAACACTCTGAGAGTGGCCTTGGCCTGTGGGGCCTCTGCAGGCAGCTCCCTGGTATTTATAGGGTTCCAGAGGAAGCAGCTGCTCTTAACCTCCACCGTCAGTGCTGCTTCCTCATGGCCCCAAACATTTCCCTTTCAGGTTGTGATGCTGGAAATCACAGACTTCACTCTGCCCTGGCCCTTCCCAGAGGTCCCCTCATCTTTTCTGGGTTCAGCATGTTTGGCTAATGTGAAAAGCACAATCCGTCCCCCACTTTACTGTCACTGTCTGATCCAGCTTCCTGCAATACGTGTGGCACTCACTTGGTATTCACGTGACTATAGAACTACATCCATGTTGTCTTCTTTGCCCAAGTGATGGCGGGCTTCCGTTCACACTCGTTTGCGCTGTCCGAACGACGATACTTCAAGGACCTTCACTGACAAGTTGCTTATTGACCGAAGCCTGCTGCACCCCTTTCAGTTGTGAAGGTCAACTGCTCAGTGTCGCCTTCGCCTGAGGCCTTTGAAATTATGAAGCACAGAACTTTTGTTTTCCAGATCATGTTAATGTCCTTTATGGTTTCCTCTGGTAGATTCGCAGAGGTGAGGATTTCTTGAAGAAAGGACCCCAAATAGCACCTCAGAAGGGCTGACCAGAGGAAACCTGTTAGACAAGTTATGGAAGTGCCCAAGTTTACTTAGGAGAAAAGGCAGGGAGCTTAGAGTATTAAGCCATAAACATCCACAGAAGTGTCCAGAATGGATGGTAGTAAAGGAATACTTATAAGAGACATAACTATTTTCACTATTTTCAGTGTTGATGTTCCCAGTTAGGGAAGAGTTTACTTGGTGGAAAATCCACTGAAGTCACCGGGAGAGATGTAGGGTGGAAAGAATCTTGAGGTCCCCAGAAAGTCTGAGAATAAAAACGTGGCTTAGACGTCCTTTCTGTGCCCTCCTGTGTGAGCTGGGCAGAATTGGGTCTCCCCTAAACTGAGCTCTCCGGGGGGCCAATGTGCTAGCAGGAGAAATGCGTCAAATTCTTCATTTCTGCTTCCTCCTTTGCCCTCCTCCCAAGAAAATCAAGGGGAAAGCAAGTCCAGGGCGTGACATCCTTTAGGAACTTGCTTTATTTACAGTGGTTGAGATTTCAGTTTTAAGAGGTACTTGTGGTGTGTGTGTGTAAAAGAAGGTCTTGTTCTGTAAACGTCACAAAATTCCTTCTTTAGGGCAGGAGCTCTTTATACCTAACAGTTCACAGATCATCCTGGATCACATGTAGCCACTTGTGAACCTGAGAAACCCCAGTTCAGCCAGCAGGGGTGGGTGTCCCTCTGGCCAGGAGCAGGTTCTGGGAGTGGTGTGTGTAGCAGCCCCCTGACGGAGCCTGCTGCAGAAGTGGGTGCAGTGATCTGCAGGCTCCGGACAAGCTGAGCTTGTTTAGGAAACTATAGGAAAGCGCCAAGAACCAGGGTTGTTTCAGAACTGGTTCCATTCTTTATTGGGGGGGAGGGGTTTTTGTTCTAGGGCGTGTGCGCTCACCAGAAAGACAGAGAGACAGACAGAAATCGAGAAATCACCCCCCAGGGGAGTTGGCCAAGCCGCAATCCCTTCTCCATTCTCCTCTCGGGATCTCAGGCACACACACATACGCACCCAGTGTGAGTTTAAGCCACCAGGTCCAGGACTCAAACCACGTTCGACTACATGGGAGTCCAGCGACATAGCCACTTCGCCATCTGCTGGTCCCCAGAACTGGTTGCATTATATTTTCCTCCTGCTTAGGTCTAGTGGAGTCCTTGATTTATCTGGGTCTGGCAGCCAGTATGAATTTAGAACTGGCCCTTCCTCCAGGTCAAGGTCTAGCAAACCAGGCCGTGTATTCTTGGCTGGCTCTCATTGGCCTCCTATCCTCTGCAGAAAGAAGCTCAGGGAAACACAGACAGGAAAACGTTGCCAGTGGCAGGCTCCTCGAAGTTTCCTTCTTTAGCCAGCCCAGCCAGTCCACGTTTTTCAGCTGCTTATGTTCTGGTTTGTCGCATAAAGTTCCCTTCTGAGGGTTACAGATGTTCTGATTTTTATCCTCAACCGAAGATGTTAGCAAGTTTATCTGGATGATCACAAGAGACCTGGATGCATGCTGAGGACTGAGGGCATATAAGCAAGTGGACTTTGGTGATTAATTGTGATATATAGTACTCAGGTGATGAGTCAGCGTTTGTGGGTTTAAAGAACCTACATTCATGTATTATTCTGATGTAAGAAACTGGAAGGTTTGTGCCAATTGCTTTGAGTTATAACAATGGTGTTAATTTGATTAATTCACCAATGTGGTTTCTAAATAATAGACATTTGCTTTCTACAACTTTTTGTACATGATTTTAAAGTCTAAAAAAATCCCAGGGGCTGCTGGTCAGACAACTTTAGCGATGAAAGCTGAAGACTTTGTAGAACGATGTATATTACCTCTGTGCCATTCGTCTGATGTGGAAATGTTTTTCTCTGATTTTCCTGAGTAAAAACTCTAACTGGGGGAGGGATTCTTACAGAAGTGTCATTGTACCTAGCATGTTACCTAACTGAAGACCAGAGACTGTCATCAGCCTTGGGAAACCCTACTACATTTTTTTACCAGGTCACTTAAGTACTCATTGGTTGGTTTTGTTTTCATCCTCATAGTTTTTCGGGAAATTGTCTAGAGAATTGTTCATCAGAGGTAACTGGAGATTTTTGTGTGCAATAGATGAACTGTGCCTAGGTGCGCTGTATGGAGAAGGTGGGGTCTGAGCAGAGGACACCTGACATTGTTTCTGGTTCCTCAGAGGATCTGCATTCATTATGATTGGCCTAATGTAGTGTTAATTTCTCCTCCACCTCCTTCCCAAAGTTGTCACTGTTGACCTTTTTATTTCTTCTTCTTCTTTTTTAGGTTTTTGCCATAGGCTGCATGCTGCCAGAGACAGATGGAGAGACAAAGAGAGGGAAAGTGAGAAATCCCCTGGGGGGATGGCCACATTGCAATCCCTTCAGTCTCCTCTTGGAATTTTGGTCATGTATGCACATGCGCCCAGTGTGATTTTCAAGCCACTGGGTCCCGGGCTCAAACCGTGGTCAGTGTGTGGGAGTCCAGCGCCTTAACCGCCACCCATGCCACCTGCTGGCCCTAATGCTCTCCTTTTTTAAGATGACGTACTTCATTAATTTTTGTCAGAAGTTTTACCTCCATTGGTGCTTCATGTTATCTGTGAAGGGAAGTCTGGAGCTTGTATTTAAGCTACCTGGGCTTTTTTCTTGCTTTATTCCCCCTTTAAGTAGTGTTTCATTTTGATGTACACTCTTGTCCTACATCTCTTGGAAATGAAAGGGTTGATCTTGAACCAAGACCCTACACACACAGAAAGAACACAGACCCTTCATCAGGACAATGCAGTAATCCCTTGGCTCACAGAATTCACTGTAGGATATTTTCTGTAAATTGCTAGTAAAAATAGTTTTGCATTTCAGACAGAAGTGTTGGGCCTTTGACTTCATGGGACTAAAGAACTGTTCACACAGATCTTTGGCTCTTGCTTTTTTCTACTTTAGCAATTCATTCATAGAGGCAGTCATTTTAAAAATTGAACTATTTGGCTTTTACCAAAGAATTTTGGTTTTGGGTATTTTTTTTAAAGCAGGATCCTTATAGAAAACCAATTAATTGGAGAAGTGCAGATTAAGAATGCATATGGCCAAATCCACTTCTATAGAAGTTTAATCATATTCGTGTGAGTAAAAATGATGGGAGAACTCTTTAAGGTAATCCTTTCGGATAAAGGATCCTGGAAAATTCTCTCAGGTAAAGAAAACTTACAGCAGATACGTAATATATGTCATGAGAGCTATTTATAAAAAAAAAATTTAAGAAGAATGTCTTGTTTTCCTTTATAAAGAGTTAAATTGTTTTTTACTTTGGAAAAAACTCTACTAAAGTTTTATAGCCATAATTTTGTTAATTTTTTAAACTTTTCTGAAACAGTTAGCTGTAGCCAAATTAGGTGGTTACATTTTGCTACGTTAGTATTTGAAAATGCAATGTGTGTGGTAAATCTACTGTTTGAAATTTATAAAGTCTTTGATGTGGTTAGAATTTTGGTAACTTAAAAGCTATTTTTTCCCCCTTTAGTCACGAAACCAATTGTGGATTTATATTTGTTCTTTGGGATTTTTTTTGAATGCTCCTTTTTCTATAAAAGCATCTGAAGTTGACTGGTCTTTTATTATGTATAAAACGCAAAACTTGTTAACTCTAATAAAATTTAAAATTGAAAATCATGGGTTTTTTCTTTTTCTCATTCTGTTCCATACATACGTATTTAATTAAAGTCTTCCAATTAGTGTTTTCCACAGATGTTGCTTTCAAATGTTAGTCACATCTTAAGCATCATAGAATTTCTGTCAATTCCTTTTTTTAAATTGACAAAATTTATAGTTATGGTGTACAACATGTTTTGAAGTATGATATATCCCGAAATGTCTAAATCAAGCTAACGTTTATTACCTAATGTTTTTGTGGCGAGGACTTTTAAAAGTCAGCAGTTTTTAAATATACATCTTGTTAGTTGCTGTATTCATCAAGTATTAGATCTCTTGAACTTCTTACTCCTAACTAAAATTTTGTGTTCTTTGACCCATAACATCTCAGCCAGCCCCTACCCCACTCCCTGTAACCATGGTTCTGCTCTCTGCTTTTACGAGTTTTAACTTTTTTAGATTCCATATGTAAGTGAGATTATGCAGTACAAGGAGACTTTTAAAAATGTATGAAACTTGGACTTAAAAGTACAAATCTTGAGGGCTGGTAAGTGGTGTGGTGGACCCTCGACTCCCATGTGGCTGACTGCAGTTCGAGTTCCTGACCTGATGGCTTGCTTTTCACTCTCTCTTTCTGTGTCTTTCCCTGGTCAAACTGAATAATAATAATAATAATAAATATTTTTTAAAAGTACAAATATTGGGAACCAGCAGTTAGCGTAATGTCTGTCGCAGGACTCCCATGTAGTCAACCGCGGTTCACGTCCCGGACCCGGTGGCTTAAAACTAAGGCCGCCACGTGTGCGTGCATGCCCAAGATCCCAAGAGGAGAATGGAGGAGAAGGGATTGCAGCGTGACCATCCCCCTTGGGGGGTGATTTCTCGCTTTCTGTCTCTATGTGTCTCTCACTATAGCGCATGCGCCCTATAGTGAAAAACCTCTCCAAAAAAAAAAAAAAGTACAAATATTGTTGCAAAGAAATTTTGAAATTTATTCATCTTTTCCATAGTACACATTTTCCATGAACTTTCTAAAGACCTTGTACTTGTCTTTCTGTGTGGGGCATATCTCAGTAGTAGCCTCCAAGTTCATTCAGGTTGTTGTAAGAGGTCCTCATTTTAAAGGCTGAGTAGTATTCCATTGTGTATGTCTGCCCCATTTTCTTTCCATTCACCTGTCTGTGGACAGCAGGTTGGTTCCATAGCTTGTGTATAATGTGGTAAGAACATGGGCCTGCAGACATCTCTAGCATACTGATTTCATTTCCCTTGGATGTATAGCCCATGGTGAGATGGCCAGGTTGTATAGCATCTCTAGTTTTAGGTTTTGGAGGAGCTGCCATACGGTCATTGCAGTAATGACTGTACTACTTCACATTCCCAGCACAGTGTAGACGGGCTTTAGTCTGCCTTTCCCTGTTGATTATGGTACTGAGCCCTTTATCGTATACCAGTTAGCCATCTGTATATCTTTTGAGAAACGTCTATTCAAATCTGTGCCCACATTATAGTTGTTATTTATTTTCTTGCTGTTATTTGAGTTCCTTATTTATTTTGGATATGAACACCTTATCGGGTGTATGGTTTGCAGGTGTTTGTTTTCTCCTGTTTTGTAGATCATCTCTTCACTCTTGTTTCCTTTGCTCTGCACCT